ACTCACTTGTAGTTATAAGATGAACTATATGGACCCATACTTACCCAAACATGGATTAATAGGTTCTCCACATTACTATGAGGACAAACATGAGTGAAACGGTCTCAATCCAAGGGAGGAACATCAAATGGACCTAATTTGGGAACCGGAAGAGGTAAGGAGTCCGAAATGTACCTCTGTGACTCCACATTGTGGAAACTCACTTGTAGTGTATAAGATGAACTATATGGACCCATACTTACCCAAACATGGATTAATAGGTTCTCCACATTACTATGAGGACAAACATGAGTGAAACGGTCTCAATCCAAGGGAGGAACATCAAATGGACCAAATTTGGGAACCGGAAGAGGTAAGGAGTCCGAAATGTACCTCTGTGACTCCACATTGTGGAAACTCACTTGTAGTGTATAAGATGAACTATATGGACCCATACTTACCCAAACATGGATTAATAGGTTCTCCACATTACTATGAGGACAAACATGAGTGAAACGGTCTCAATCCAAGGGAGGAACATCAAATGGACCAAATTTGGGAACCGGAAGAGGTAAGGAGTCCGAAATGTACCTCTGTGACTCCACATTGTGGAAACTCACTTGTAGTGTATAAGATGAACTATATGGACCCATACTTACCCAAACATGGATTAATAGGTTCTCCACATTACTATGAGGACAAACATGAGTGAAACGGTCTCAATCCAAGGGAGGAACATCAAATGGACCTAATTTGGGAACCGGAAGAGGTAAGGAGTCCGAAATGTACCTCTGTGACTCCACATTGTGGAAACTCACTTGTAGTGTATAAGATGAACTAGATGGACCCATACTTACCCAAACATGGATTAATAGGTTCTCCACATTACTATGAGGACAAACATGAGTGAAACGGTCTCAATCCAAGGGAGGAACATCAAATGGACCAAATTTGGGAACCGGAAGAGGTAAGGAGTCCGAAATGTACCTCTGTGACTCCACATTGTGGAAACTCACTTGTAGTTTATAAGATGAACTATATGGACCCATACTTACCCAAACATGGATTAATAGGTTCTCCACATTACTATGAGGACAAACATGAGTGAAACGGTCTCAATCCAAGGGAGGAACATCAAATGGACCTAATTTGGGAACCGGAAGAGGTAAGGAGTCCGAAATGTACCTCTGTGACTCCACATTGTGAAACTCACTTGTAGTTTATAAGATGAACTATATGGACCCATACTTACCCAAACATGGATTAATAGGTTCTCCACATTACTATGAGGACAAACATGAGTGAAACGGTCTCAATCCAAGGGAGGAACATCAAATGGACCAAATTTGGGAACCGGAAGAGGTAAGGAGTCCGAAATGTACCTCTGTGCTCCACATTGTGGAAACTCACTTGTAGTGTATAAGATGAACTAGATGGACCCATACTTACCCAAACATGGATTAATAGGTTCTCCACATTACTATGAGGACAAACATGAGTGAAACGGTCTCAATCCAAGGGAGGAACATCAAATGGACCTAATTTGGGAACCGAAGAGGTAAGGAGTCCGAAATGTACCTCTGTGACTCCACATTGTGAAAACTCACTTGTAGTTTATAAGATGAACTATATGGACCCATACTTACCCAAACATGGATTAATAGGTTCTCCACATTACTATGAGGACAAACATGAGTGAAACGGTCTCAATCCAAGGAGGAACATCAAATGGACCTAATTTGGGAACCGGAAGAGGTAAGGAGTCCGAAATGTACCTCTGTGACTCCACATTGTGAAAACTCACTTGTAGTTTATAAGATGAACTATATGGACCCATACTTACCCAAACATGGATTAATAGGTTCTCCACATTACTATGAGGACAAACATGAGTGAAACGGTCTCAATCCAAAGGAGGAACATCAAATGGACCAAATTTGGGAACCGGAAGAGGTAAGGAGTCCGAAATGTACCTCTGTGACTCCACATTGTGAAACTCACTTGTAGTTTATAAGATGAACTATATGGACCCATACTTACCCAAACATGGATTAATAGGTTCTCCACATTACTATGAGGACAAACATGAGTGAAACGGTCTCAATCCAAGGGAGGAACATCAAATGGACCAAATTTGGGAACCGGAAGAGGTAAGGAGTCCGAAATGTACCTCTGTGACTCCACATTGTGAAACTCACTTGTAGTTTATAAGATGAACTATATGGACCCATACTTACCCAAACATGGATTAATAGGTTCTCCACATTACTATGAGGACAAACATGAGTGAAACGGTCTCAATCCAAGGGAGGAACATCAAATGGACCAAATTTGGGAACCGGAAGAGGTAAGGAGTCCGAAATGTACCTCTGTGACTCCACATTGTGAAACTCACTTGTAGTTTATAAGATGAACTATATGGACCCATACTTACCCAAACATGGATTAATAGGTTCTCCACATTACTATGAGGACAAACATGAGTGAAACGGTCTCAATCCAAGGGAGGAACATCAAATGGACCTAATTTGGGAACCGGAAGAGGTAAGGAGTCCGAAATGTACCTCTGTGACTCCACATTGTGAAAACTCACTTGTAGTTTATAAGATGAACTATATGGACCCATACTTACCCAAACATGGATTAATAGGTTCTCCACATTACTATGAGGACAAACATGAGTGAAACGGTCTCAATCCAAGGGAGGAACATCAAATGGACCAAATTTGGGAACCGGAAGAGGTAAGGAGTCCGAAATGTACCTCTGTGCTCCACATTGTGAAACTCACTTGTAGTTTATAAGATGAACTATATGGACCCATACTTACCCAAACATGGATTAATAGGTTCTCCACATTACTATGAGGACAAACATGAGTGAAACGGTCTCAATCCAAGGGAGGAACATCAAATGGACCAAATTTGGGAACCGGAAGAGGTAAGGAGTCCGAAATGTACCTCTGTGACTCCACATTGTGAAACTCACTTGTAGTTTATAAGATGAACTATATGGACCCATACTTACCCAAACATGGATTAATAGGTTCTCCACATTACTATGAGGACAAACATGAGTGAAACGGTCTCAATCCAAGGGAGGAACATCAAATGGACCAAATTTGGGAACCGAAGAGGTAAGGAGTCCGAAATGTACCTCTGTGCTCCACATTGTGAAACTCACTTGTAGTTTATAAGATGAACTATATGGACCCATACTTACCCAAACATGGATTAATAGGTTCTCCACATTACTATGAGGACAAACATGAGTGAAACGGTCTCAATCCAAAGGAGGAACATCAAATGGACCAAATTTGGGAACCGGAAGAGGTAAGGAGTCCGAAATGTACCTCTGTGCCCACATTGTGAAAACTCACTTGTAGTTTATAAGATGAACTATATGGACCCATACTTACCCAAACATGGATTAATAGGTTCTCCACATTACTATGAGGACAAACATGAGTGAAACGGACATCTCGTGTGCCGACAGTAAGCCTCCAAAGTCACCTCATCAACTCTGCTTTACTTTGTTTGCTCTCTTTTTCTTCTTCTCTTTAACGCCATGATCCAGATCATCCGTTTTCTATGCTTTTCCTTTGTGGTGGTGTTCTCCTTGGTTCCTCCATACCATCTACCCTCCACTCTGATCTCTTCTTAGCTACCCTCCACTCTGATCTCTCCTTTCTCCTTGCAACACAATAACCACACATAACATCACAAGGTCAACAACGTCAACGATGGCTAGCGACAACACTAAGTCACCAACAATGGACTCTTTTCTTTCTCTCTCCATCGAAGGTGGCGGCTTGAGATTTCATGAGATAGGGTTTTTACCAAGTCCTTTTGAAGAGATCATATTATTATTTTCTTGAATATTCATCAACATGTTACCGAATATTAACGTTCAAAATGGGTTTAGACTTCACAAATTAAACTATTGAAACTGGGCCCATATAATGGATTTGGGGTGTTACAACGCTGCTCGACCTCGATGAGATCCCCGGAGCACCCCAGATCTCAGAGGCAGTATTTATCCAAGCCCTCGGGAACGGACTCTGGTACCGATCCAGATTTCAGAAAGATGATCGCGGGATCAGGTCTTCCCTTTTCCTATCCCTGATTCTGCAAGTGCACAGGTCAGAAGTAGTAAACGGGTATCGAACACGAGGACCAGATTGCACACTACAAACTATGAGATTGAGATCGAGCTAGGGCAAACAGTATGAGATTGGTTGAGTGCAGTGAAAGTAAAGGCATGCAAGTAATTAAAGAAGATTGAAATCAATAGGAGATGAGGGCTAAGCAATAGGATAGTCTTAAGATAAGCAATTCATGAAGCAAGGATCAATCAATTAGGGTTATTGCAATTAGGTGCCATCTAGAACTCGAAACACTATGGTATGATCTTTCCACTTTCGTGGCTCCGACCCCTTTGTTAATCTCCCTAGTCGCTAAACTTTTGGTATGTCCCTAGGTGATTAAATCAAGCATTAGTTCGATTAAGTTCAATTGTTCACAACCTACAAGTAAATCAACTTTCGCAGTCTAAAAGAGGTTGCCCACCAAATACTAGTTCAGGCGAATGATACAGCACTTTCGAGGCTCAAATCAACCTTAGATCATATGCTAATTGGCCAGATTAACAACAAGCATTAAGTATAAGCAAAGATGAAGATTATAAGTAAAACCCTAATTCATGTGATCGATCATCAAGCATACATGAATGCTATCCTTTGACTTCCTATCACTTAACAAGTAAACTACTCAGACATAGAGAAGGAAAACGAATTCATATTCATAAGAACAGAGATTCGAATCCTCTCTAGAAAGAGAACAAGCAAGAACAAAGTAAAAGCAAGCAAAACTTTATTAAAGATGTAAAGTAAATTGTGGTCTCTCTCCTTCTTGAGTTACAAGGCTAAAAAGAAGTATTTATAATGCTCTAAGTATAGGAAAGCGGCTAGACCTAATCTAGTAAGTCGGTGCCGGTATTGGGCTTGAAACGTGTGAAACGGGCTTCAGAAATGGCTTCGGGTCGACCGACCGTTCGGACGGTCGGTCGGGACGTTCGGCCGGTGTCGGTCGTGGCCTATCGGCACGGTCGGGTCGATCGTGGCCGAGAGTTTTCGCGTTCGTTCGTCGGGTTCGGCCAGACGGATGATTTTGGTCGAAGAATTTGGCCGGACGTGAGACAAGGCCTTCCTGGTCGGACGGCGCGATCGGCCGCGGTACGTGAGTTGTGCCGCGCGGCCGCGAGGCGTTGCCTTCCTGTTCGCGCGGTACAGTCGTGCGCAGCTTCGGGCGTGTGATTCTGGTTTGGCCGACCGCGGGACGATGCTTCCCGGATCGGTACGTGGGCTCGGCCTATGTTGAGCACGGGATGGACAAGCGTTCGGATGTTGGCCGACCGCGGGACAGATGTTCATCGGCCGGCTGTTGCGCTCGTTCGGCCGCGGTTTCTCGATAGAGCCGCCTGGATCAGTCTTTGCTATTTTGACATAACTAGTTTTCTACTCATCCAAATGATGCCAATACAATTGCGTTGGAGAGTTAAATCACTTAGAGCACGCGGGGAACTGATTTTGATGAAATCCATTGAGTAGATCTTTTTTAAGCTCCTCCCAAAGTAGAAGGTGTGACAGTGGACTGGTTTGAAGTCCAAATCCTCTGTTTTTCTCCATAATGCACATTTTGACCTAAAATGACTCTTTGCAGTATAAATCCACAAAAACTACCTTTTAAGACAAAAATACACTAGAAAACCATTAGAAAACTATAGTGAAATAGTATAAAAAACATGTAAAATAGAGGTATATCAGAAGACTTCTACCTCCGCCCCTTCCCGACCTTGAAAGAAGTCTTCCTCCGTGCCGAACAGTATTTTCGCCTTGAGCAGGATATCCCGCAACGAAGATTCGAACCGAAAGATCCCAAGTTCCAGCTACAAAACAAAAGAAGATCGTCTTCCCGCCACCTAGAGGAATCCACTCCCTAAGCACCAAGACGCCACCCCTCGTCTCACCGAGAAGTCATCCACGTCGACGACGACGACACCGAAGAAAACGCAAGGTATCACGCAACTACTCAACACCAAGGCACTCCGCAATGCGCGTTCTCAGATCAGAAGATATTCGAAATCATTGCTGACATTCGGAGAACTCACCTGACGAGCCGCCTCTCCGTAGTACCACTGAAGAAGCGTATCTCGCTGCACCTAAGCTTCTACGACGGCCGAGACGATCCCAAGCAATGAATTTCATCCTTCATGATAGCCATGAGATGACAGAGATACGCATCGCCGGAAGAGGAAAGCGCACACCTTTGCAAAGCTCTCGCCGAGCACCTGCGTGGTGAAGCCCTGACATGGTTCGACAGCCTCCGGGTCGACTCCATCGACAGCTTCGACGATTTGGCAGTCGCTTTTCTAAAGCAACACCTCCGCTTCGCACTCGACGACCTCATCTTGCGCAAATCCGACGAAGACAGGATCGACCATCTCGGCAAATTTGGCTTCAGCTGGGAAGGACCATACCGCATCGCACAAATCATCAAGCCAGGAGTCTACTAGCTTGAAGACAACCTAGGCAGCACGTCCGAACGCCTCTGGAGCTCAACGGACCTGCGCAAGTTTCATGACTAGACGCAAAGCACCGCACTATAGTCAAATGACATGAACATTTGTAACGAACTACGAATGGCTTGATCCCGGCACGGGTACGTTGGCCGCCTTTTTCACTAAGGGCGCAACTATGATACTCAATAAAATAAAAAGCTTTTATTTGAAGTCCTTTCCAACTCGACAAGCGCGTCTCATCACGGCATAAGCGGAAACTTGTCGATATAAAGCACGCACCCGTTTGACGTCAAACCAAAACTCGAGGCAAACTCGATAAGCACTCGCACTTTGCACCCTAAAAAGACATGGACTGATCACCCATTCATTAAGACGAGAGCACGCACCTCGCACGGCTCTTAGTTCGTCGGACGAGCGAAAATCGCTACCTCGACACCCGTATGAAGCTTTGAAGTCGGAAGCATAAATCGAGTTTCTAGAGCTCGTCGCTGAAGTTAGGCCTAAAACGCCAAGCATACATACCTAATACGCACCGGTCGGTGTCTCGAATGAAAAGTCATGACAAACCGCGAAAGCATCGCGTCTCGTCATGACGCATCAGCACCATCACGCGCATCAAGTCGTGATACACTTAAAGGTAACGAGTCATCCCGAGGAACGAACTTTCTTTTGATGATGATCGAGTACTTAGTTTAAATCATTCGGTCGATGGCATTTCGTCCGTTATTAAAAAGACAATTATATATAATTTTATTGCGCTGTGAATTAATCAATTATGTTTAAGTCGTGATAACACTATCACGCATGCATGCAAGCAAAATAAAATCATACTTAAAAACATAATAAGTATCTAGCATAAATCCAGAACACAAATCCTGAGCATACGGATAAAAACCCTCCCGGGCAATGTTATTACAACAATAAAAGACCGCAACCACATCAGTCTTAAAATAAAGAGAAAGGGGCCTAAACAGACTTGGCCCCGAGAGCAGAAGGCCCCGCACCCGAACCAGCACCATCATTATTTCGACGAGACGGAGATCCCGGCAGCACCAGTATAGAAACACTGCAAATATCATCACATGTTAATAAACACATCGCAGAAGACAAGAAATAGCAAGCAAGCAAATCTCACCTGCTAGGCTTCGCGAAATCGTCATCAGTAATGACGACCTCATCGATTGCATCTCCATCCACGACGCTCTTCGCCAGCTTGGCCCCAAGTCTCTCCTCTACCGCGTTGAAATCCAGGTCCACTCTCCAGATCTTCTTCACAAAATCGAGAAGAGCCTCGTCGACCTGCCTCCTCACTACAGCTGCCTCGACTGCATCCCGTTGGGCGAAGAATTCCGAGAGACGGCAAAGGCGAGGAGCGTACAAATCACTCACCGAGTCATAGACTTGAGTAGCAGCTACTTCAGCCCATTCCTGACGTGACCGACGAAGACATTCCGCTTTAGCAACAGCGGCTTCAACACCCCGGCGAACCTTCTCCGTGAGATCAGCATGTTGAGCTCTCAACTGGTCCGCTATATCTTGAAGACTGAGAGTCTTCATTATCTCCTTATTCAGCACTCCAACTTTTTCCTCGAAAGCAAGTTTCTCAAGCTTCAAATCAGCCACCACCGCATTGATATCCTCGGCCTTCTCATCCTCCCGCCGCAACCTTAAGACTTCCTCCTTAGCTGCTCGGAGAGGCGTCTCGAACTTCTGAATCAGTGCGGCAAACTTCCCACTAGACTTGACGTGGTATTGAGATGCCTCATCAAAGTCACCCCTGAAAGCGAGCCCTTCGCGAGGAATCCCTCGGCCCGGATGGACCTTGGATACCCAAACCGATCCTACACAAGCATCCTGATCCTCCATGAGAGGAACATCACCATGCCACCGCGTCTCCACCGCATGAGGATTACAGCTCCGAGACTCGACCTTTGGTTCTTCGGGACCATCCTCGGCATTAGGTTTCGGTACAGAACCACCCATCTCTGAGCGATGAGACATCTCCTCATGACCATCAGGACGCTGAGACGACCCACCTTCTCCGAGGCTATTGTGGTCGAAGAAGGAAGCATCATCATGAGGAGTAAGAAACTCCTCTCTCGTCCGAGTAGGCGAAACGCCGCCGCGAGGAGGGTACCCCAGACCGCCATCTTGACGCGATGCATCCACGTTTCGGCGAGATGCGTCTCCCTCTTGTTCCACGGCAGGAGGAGAAACGACGTCAATTGCACCCTCTGGAACCTTCTCGGCCGTAGAACACGAGGCCGCTCTCGCATGTCTAGCTCTGGACGAAGTCCTGTGGATGTCAGTATTCAGCATTAATTCTATTAAACTTACTTTGTCTGAGACGCGATGGAAGAACTTGGAAGAGGAAGAGAAAGGGAGTCTTTCGGCTTTGGAGACTCGGGCGCCAGTTTCGAAGCAACGACGGAGTCGTCAACGTACACGGGCGCTCTCTTCTTAAGTCCCATTGGTTTCATCTTGGAACGGGGCGGTTTAACTGCGGCTTGGTAAAACCAAAAATTAGTCATCAATGATGAGATCAAAATTACGAGAGAACAAGTGAAACGCTTACCGGATAGCGGAGTCGCGGAGACAGCAGGCTTGCTTTTCCTTTCTTTCTTCTCCTTCTTTTCTTTCTTCTTTCTCTCGAGCTCCTCCACGACCTCAGGCCAAATCTGGTGACTGAGCTCCCTCAAAGCTTTGAACTTGCCTTTAAGAGCGCTACTCGGCCTCGCCCGCCTCAACGGCTCTGCAACAAGACATAAAAATCAGAAAAATATCTCGATAAGCATAACGAGATAACAATTCTACCAATATTCTACCCGGCGAAGTGATCCAATCAGTTTTGATTTGGTCAGGTTTGAAGTTCCCGACCTAGGCCTTGCTTATCTTTACAAAACAAGAAATAGTGCTTCCAGTGATGAATCTTATCCCGGTAGTCACCAAATACGATCCTATGTCTCATCGCGGTGTGGAAACGCTTAAAGTTCCCCTCCCATTTGGATCCGGCGCGAAGATCCGTGACATTCTCCAAAAGGTGACGATCAAACATGATGTTTGCGGCAGCGGCTAAGGCTTCCGTGAAGACCATTTGATGAAAAACGCCGTGAGTAAGTTGGCTCACGGCAACGCCCCGCTCGGCGGTGAACTTCAATAAAAAGAAAGCCAAAGGAAATTTCATCCCAAACTCGGTGAAAAAACACTCATAGACGCACATCCATCCTGGCGGAGCGTCATAAGGACTTATGTGCTCCTTGGGGATTCCGGAACTCAATACAACCCGAGAAGCCGACTTTCTTCACAAGCGCCAAGAGAATTTCAGGGGTCATCCACGTCCTGCCATCCGTTATGCGTGGTGCCTTGGACTTGGCATGCTCTGGCATCTTGATCATCTCGGGGATACCTTTCAGACGAGCAAGATTTGGAGTCGAAACCTCCGCATCATCGCGTTCCGAATCAACATCAGAGTCATCCGATGGAATTCCATCACGATACCATTTATCGGAACTGGTCTCTCCTCTGCCTTCTTCTTTCTCTCCACCGCCTCTCGAAGCTCAACCTCGGCGGCAACTCTCACCGCTTCTTCCATCTCGGCCCTTTCAACCACTCTCTCGGCCTCAGCAGCAGCCGACGCTTCATCCACAGCCGCCTTTCTTCAGCGCTCAGCCGCATCCGCTTGGATGGCTCCGCCGAGAAGCCTCTCAGGACGAGTAGTAGATCCCGTCTGACGAGCAATCGAAGCAATCATCTCATCGCCGTCATCCGTGGCAATACCCTTGCTCTTCCTATCCTTTGGATTCATCTCGATTGCACGAAGAATTGAAGAAATTCGAGGATCGAAACGAGAAAATCCGACAGAGCAGAAACCCAATAATTGGAAAAAGGAATCGGCGAGAGAAGGGGCAAAATCAGATTGCAATCTAACTAGATTTAGACAATTCGAAACTTCCTAGTTATAAATTCCGCAATAACCGATTCGATAACTCAATCGAGACAAGATTTGAAGCCGAATTGAGGAAGTTACCTTTTCTCGTCGAACGGTTGAGTGTGGGGAAGAAAAAGAAGTAAATGAAAAGAGAAATTCGAACGGTCTCTTAATAGAGATCGCACGACTTCCAAGGGAAATAACTTCCCTTGTGAATTTTTATTCGTTTATTTCCCGCTCAAGGAAAAGCGCTAATGGGTCTGGGCCTTTTTGCGAGTAAACCAGTTATTGGACCCAGCCCGTGTTCTTTCGAATATATTACATGTCTGAGCAGTGACGTGGCAATCCCGTCCACATATGGACAAAATTTGAACTCATCGCGGCATGCGAAGAAAAAATCCCTAGATTCGACAAGAAAGCATTCTCGGTCTCGGCAAGGACCATTCGAAGCACATTCTTTTATGAATTAGATGACGTCAACGTACTCTTTTTCCTTCTTATGGTTTTTGTCCCAATTTGGTTTTTCCGTACCAAGGTTTTAATGAGGCGGCACGAATCTACATTCAGCAAGCACTTAGGTACTAAAGTTGGATTGGTGCAGCATATTGTTATTAATGACTCTTAAGCTCCCTCTTTGTTCATGAAACTCGCCGAGATCAATTTGCATTTGACTTGCCGAGCTGGGGGGGACTTATTGTTAGAGGAGAAATTAACACATTTCCCTGAGCCCGTCATTATTAGTAAAATCACAAAGTCCAATCCGACTTTAGGCCTAACCTTCTCAACAAAATGGCAAGACTTGAGAAAGAAGGCGAAATCCATGAAAAAATGTAAATAAACCCTCATGCCAACTGGAAGAATGGAAGGAAATCAAGAACAAAAGGAAGTTTTCTATATCGCAAAAGAGGAAGTTTTCCATCTCACCGGAAGGAAAATATCCATCAAGGAGCCGACCTATTAACATTATATATTGAAGACCCCCCATTCGTGAAAAGGCATGAGATCATCTAGAATTACTAGGCTTTGCACCCCCTTTACTTTCATCTCAGTTTTCCTCTTGTTCATCATAGTTCACTCGCCAAGCTTGTCGGCGAGATAACATCTTTTGTAATCTTCCTGATATTCTTCGAGTTAAATCAAGCTTTCAGTTTTCTAAACTCACATCTTTGGTAACCCGTTTTAACGAGTGTTATCTCAGATCTAACAGACCCAACATAGAAAGACAACACAAAACAAACCATAGCAAAATAAATTTGCATAAATCTCAAATCCTAAAACACTAAATCTAAAATAGAGAAGAAGACAAGCTTCTAAACATTTGTCCTCGCTTAGAAACACTAGACTTCAGAAATTGAAAGACGAAAGCATCAAAGACCAACAAGGCGCAACCATCAAGATACGGTTTAATGAGCAGCCTAAGAGAAGCCGGAACATGAAGAGTCGAAACAAGTCGACAAAACACTGGTTTGGAGCAAACGGAACCCAAAAGATCTATAGGTAGTATCTAGTGGAAGAGACGATAAGACGCTACGAGAACCACATCTGCCAAACCCCAAGGAGCACGTAAGCGGAGAGAATGGTTGATTCGGAGTGTGTCCAACAATAGATCCGGTAAGGAGGAATAAGACCTACAGCAATAGATCAGAAGTTTGCAGAAGCAAATGAGATCTTCAAAAACCTTTCAATCCCGAAAAAAAAAAAAAAATCTAGATCTAGAATCTAATATGTCGCTGTAAAAAAGAAAAACTAAAGAAAGAAGATCTAAACCGAATAAACCAAATATGACACACGGGGCCATGATGTTGCGGCTGTGAAAACCCACCAGCGCCTGCCAGAAACCGATCTACACGAAGAAGAAGTAGAGAGAAGGGAGAGGAGAAAAGTTTTATTGAGATGATAAAAAAAACTTGTTAAGAATATGATAATCCAAATCTATGATGTTAGATAAGATTCTAGAATATTTTGATTAAAACCATATAAATTTTCTCTAAATTACTCAAAACCATTTAAAGCCTCCTTAAACATCAAATCACCTAATCGAGATGCTAAGTTGAATACACCCTAAATATTGTGCATCATTTAAAATGTAGAAGTGCCAAAGAAATATACATTAGCGTTTGGGCCTTGGTCTCGTAATATATTGGGTATTTTGCCTTAAGATGATTGTTTGAATCTAAACTAGTCTTGGGACTCTTCTCATCTGTTCGTCTATAGTGTTTAGGCCCGAAACGACGTTGAACAAATCTTCTTGACTTTCAGGATCTTAGAAAACTATTCAAATCACTTTTATTTCACTACAAGATCCGTCCAAAATTGTCATTATCGTTATTAAATGTAGATCTTTTGGCCCAGACGGGAGACTGAATTTTGTTTACTCTTCAATTAAAATGCACATGCACGTACCACCAGTCAATCCAATTGAACAAATGATACGACGCAAGAAAAAAATGAATATCATCATTTTTCTTTCAGTTACCAGAAAAATGAAAAGTTTACGACACATGCGCGGTAAAGATTTACTTTCTTTTTCATTTTTTCCTTCATCGACAACTCGTATTTTTTTACCAACGAAACAAAGAGGAAGTGCAAAGCTTTTTCCACAGAAAAACAACATGCAAACTATATTGAGACAAAAAGAATACTTTAAGGCACAAACAAATACTTTATGTCTGAAGTTAGCTACCTTAGCCACTGACATCGATCAACAATTACAGGCCCCATGTTTTCTTTTTGCTCTACTTTTATCTTTTTTCTTTCGATAAATTTTTTTTTGGGATCTAAATCTAATTTAGCATTTATCTTCTTTAAAATGTGATGTATCATTATCATGTATCATGTTAATTGCTTATGTTATTGAAATTCGATATATATTCATCTTATTCTCACTCTAATTTAGAAAAATTTAGATTAATGTTATATATTATAATGTTTGTTATAGACTCATACGTACATAGTACAGGAAAAAAATGTTCATCACAAGTAAAGTCAGCAATTGCGACAAGGAGAGACCCTTCCGTGTTCTTGGTCGTTAAGGATAATTGCGTCACCAACTCTTATTAAGCTAGTTGCGACCGAATTCGGCTACCAATTATTTACATTATTTGAAAATATGTTTTCATTTTCGAAGACAAAAGTGGTACAAACTATTTTTTGATATGGCGCTATGAAACTTTATTGTTTGGGTTTTGTGCAAAACAACCCTCAAACTAAATTCTTTTTGCAAATCAAACCCTCAATTTAAAGTTGTGCAAATCAAACCTCTGAAGTCAAAATAACCCCGCAATATAAGACATCTCTATATTTGTGACAAAATTTAAAATGATTTTATGCAAAAAAACCCGCGAACTATTTTTTGTGTGCAAATCTAACCCTCAACTTAAAAATATGCAAGTCAAACCTGCAAAATCGAAAGTCACTGCTAAAATGGACTTATATGTATTTGTCCTTAACTACAAACGTTGACTCAAAACGTCATGACATTTATAATATTTTAACCATTTTTATTAAAAGTAAATTAAAAAAAAACAAAAACAAAAAACTTTAATCTTTAATCTTTAATTTCCTTTCTCTTTCTCCTCTTATTAATGAATTTATCTCGAGTAATCTTATCGCGAATAAGTTGATTCTTTTCTTCATGATCTCATTAACTAATGACGACGAAGAGACAAAGATAAGAACTAATTTACTCGCAATAGAATTATTCGAGAGAGGCTCATAAAGACATAGGACTTCAGATCTTCCAAGTAATTATATTGTGAGTAAGTTGGTTCGGTTTTGATTTTCTGGATTGGTTACGGTTTAGTTTTTTTGGATTTGGTTAAAAATCCTAACCCTCTCCTTATTGATGGAGAAAAAGAGAAGAAATATTGAATTATTGTTTTAAGTATTTTTAATAAAAATGTTAAAATATTATAAATGTCATGATGTTTTGAGTCAACGTTTGTAGTTAAGGACAAATACATATAAGTCATTTTAGCAGTGACTTTCGACTTTGCAGGTTTGACTTGCATATTTTTTAAGTTGAGGGTTAGATTTGCACACAAAAAATAGTTCGCGGTTTTTTGCATAAAATCATTTTAAATTTTGTCATAAATATAGAGATGTCTTATATTGCGGGGTTATTTTGACTTCAGAGGTTTGATTTGCACAACTTTAAATTGAGGGTTTGATTTGCAAAAAGAATTTAGTTTGAGGGTTGTTTTGCACAAAAATCCTTATTGTTTACAAGCTATACATTGAATAAGATATTAGACCTTATAAGTTATAATATATACAAAGCAACTGTTGTCGGCAGCCCATAACTTGTTTACTTAATTCGCTTTGTTAGTATGTATCTGTATCTTTTAGATAACAAAAAGAAATTAAGTATATCTTCCAGTTCCAACAGAGTGTGTAATAGGTGGTGCACAACGTGATCAAACACGTCGTTTCTAGTATCTTAAAAAAAAATTGCAAGTCAAGATAGATCCTGACAAGAGAAATCGTTGCCATAAACATTGACACACTTGTATTCATTTAATATGTGAAAAGAAAAATCATAAAAATGAGAATAATTGTCGCACAAGTCAATTCGACTGTTTACTGCTTTGTCAAACCCTAATTATCAATAGAGACAAATTGTACACATAAAAGTTTTGAATGTGGGGCTATATGATTTAGAAATAATGCTCCCAGTCCCATTATAGACAATAGGAGAATAAGAAATATTGACATCACCTAGATAATAAATTGATTTCCTGTCCTCAAGATTTGGTAAAGTTATACAGTTCTGACAAAATGATAAAGGATGGTTTGGTTGTTAGATATTTATCTCGACTTTAATTATAGTTGGCTATTGTAAATGTTTTAAATTAGTTATTCGGTTCTTTCACTTACTCTAGAGATTAGTTTGAATCTTCATACAGAACAGTAGTTCTTTATGTCAATACAATCACTTCTCACATTTTGAAACGATCAGTAAAACGGTTATATTACTATTAAAACTAGTCTGAACATTCTATGATTATCATGTAAAATTTTAGTTTTCTTTTTGTTAAATATTATATTATGTTTGTTGTTCTATCATTCTACTATAATATTATCATGTAAACTGAATTTGTGGATTTTAGTGTAATACATTTCACGTAGTAGTATACATCTATTGTATTTGCTACTTAAAAAGAACTTATGTGTTTGCATATGGGACCGGACGTGTTCATGAAAACGCGGGACGCGCCAGTGTTTCTCTGTTGATCGGCAACACCGGAACATGGCCATGTGGACCCACCCACTCTTTATCTTCTTCTTTTTGTCATTCTTCACTGCTTTTTTCTTCAGTTCTAAGAAACTAATTAATAAAAAAACATCCATTTAACTTTTCAAAATCTTTGAACAAAAAAAAAAAAAACTTTTCAAAATCTTATAATAAATTCATTCTTATTTCATAAATGGAAATTCTCAAAAAGTTTGACGGACTACCAATAAATTCAGTTGTACTCAGTTTTCGATTTTTTTTGTGTTTAATTTATTAAGAAATTCCGGCTATTCTGTCTTAAAACTCAGATGCAAGAGTATCGAAGGTTCGTATCAAAATACTATTCGGAAACCTACCAGTAAACATGCTTGTACGAACATCAAATATTGATAGAAATAACCAAGTGGTCTTGGCCCAGTGGTAATGGACTCACAGCTGTGAGTACCGCCACCCGGGTCAAATCCCCTTGGCTACCTAGCCGCGCCCTTAACGATGGGATAACGCGTAACCAGATGCAAGGCCAGGTTGGATTAATCCTTGGGCCTAGAAAGCCTTTGGGAAACCAACTTTTTAAAAAAAAAAAAATATTGATAGAAATAGAACAGCAAAAAGTATATAATATTTGTTTGGTTAAAAATTATTGTCATTTTCTTTAGGAAAGAAAAAAACCAATTATTGTCATTTTATAGGGAAATAAGGGTTACGTACGTGAAGGTGGAGGCCCATTTTGGAACCTTACTCTACCGGCCATGCTTTTGACTTTTCTCTGCCTCCACGAGTTTATTTTTAGCTCATAAATGTCGTGAACACGCTTTGCATAGTTTCTAGTTTCTACACATAAACAGTGACGAAATCAGATAGATTTAATCGAAGACGTAATGGTTAAATAAATAGTCTATCTTCTGATTGAGAGGACAAATGGGTGAAGTTCATTTCGAAAATTCTCCAACACTCAAGTTAGAAAGGAGACACCAAAACTGACAGAAAACAAATGAGAGAAAAATAGTAAATATTATATTTAAATTGGACCAAACTATGGTCTTTTTTGTTTAACACTGAATATTACTCCTTTCGGTTGTTTAAGATGAATTTTCTAGACATTAGTTGTTGTTTCACAAAGATAAATTTTTTACTTTTTTGATACACTTTTTCAGTTCTCAAGAAATAATGATTGCATTTATTAGATTTTTATTGGTTAAAAATTATAGAAAGTTGTTTTATTGCATAAATCAATACACTAATGATTGAAAATCTGCTTTTCTTTAATATGTGTGAAAATCCTAGAAAATTTAAAAAAAAAAAGACGGAAGGAGTATTAATATTGACCCAAACCAAGGGGAGGGTACAGTAATCACTAATCAGTACCAAAAGGTACGAAAAGTAAAAAGGAGTAAAAGAATATAAGCAAAAGTGTAAGGTCCAACTAAAGAAAAGAAGAAAAAAAACAATCAGATCTCAGACTAGCGATATACACGAAGAGAAGAAATCCATCGCGACTAGCACAGGAACCAAACCCAGTAATCACCTCGAAGCCTCCATGGCGATAGCATTACGGAGCCAATTCGGACCTCTATGGCCAACATAAGATTGGTAGTAACCACCAGTAATAACGCTTTGAGCGATGGTTGAGGCAACAAGGTTTTGTGAGGGAAGGAGATGCTCAAGGACAGTGTATTTTGAAAATGAAATACGGATGAACAGCTGTATTGATAATTCAACTACGAGAAAATATTCTTGTATGAATATTTTTTTGTTTTATGATCAATACTCTTAAATAAATTCACCAACGTTCAGTTGAAACTATTTTTATAAAATTTGTTACACATTACTATAAACATTTCGGCTATATTTGAAAATATGTGTGAAATTATTTATAAATTAATTTAAACAAAATCGAAAGTTTGTGAAAATTTGTTGCAATTTAGGTTGTAACATCACCATGAACACGTGCTGAGTGGTATACAGTAGAACCTCTATAAAACAATACTCGATAAAACAATAAACACTATAAGATAATAAATTTCTCCGGTCCCAACTCGGGCCAATGTAAAAAATAGCATAATGCGATAAGATGATAAGACAATAATATTTTTGAAACTCCTATGTAAAAATATAGTCCCAACAATAGGCTAAGACAATAATTATAAAACTAAGGCATATATATCTAAGGCAATTTAGTAAAATATGACTCCAATGTAGTTTGTCTTTTATGAAAGTTGGATTCTCGTTGGAGCTCATCTCGAATTTTTCTTATTGCATCAACAATTTCTGGGGCCAAAAGTTGTGAAGAGTTTTCGAAGCCACAATTGATTCCTTACGTGTACCTACTTACATATATTTCTATAAAGTTTCTTGTTTTTTATAGAATATTTATTATTATTTTATCGATAAAACAATAACTCGATAAGATAATAAATTTTCAAAGTCCCAACATTATTGTTTTATAGAGGTTTTACTGTATATATATAACTATATACAAACCACACAGAAAAGGGAAAAAAATCGAAAACTTCTGGAAAACAATTTCAAAAAAGTTAACAAATTTTGTTAGTTGCATTGCCATGAACATGCTGAATAGTATGGCGTGTTATAGTCATTTAACGAAAACTAATACTCCCTTTGTCCTATAATATAAGCTGTTTGGGCTTATATTTTTTGTCCCATAATATAAGTTGTTCAGATTTCAATGCAGAAAAAAGAAAAGAAAAAATAAATAAAAAGGCAAAAGCAAGAAAGAGAAAGTTAGAGATAGGTCTAAAAGATTTTATATTTATTTATATCTTTAATTAAGTATTTTAAAAGACAGAAAGTAATATTTTCTTAATAATTGTGCCCAAGCCTAAAACAGCTTATAAAATGGGACAGAGGGATTAACATAACTAAGTTTCAGTAATTCAAGAGTATACGCATTTAAAAAAAAAAAAAAAAAAAAAACCATAAGTATGTAAAAATTCAAATCTGCTATTTTATAAGTTTATCTATGCCCAATAGCCATTTGTCAAATGACCCTATTTAAAATGGATTATAATCTTAAATATTAGGTTGAACTCTAACCAACTGTTGATTCAAGCTACATGCACACTCAAGTACTCAACCATTTGATATTATAAAGCATTGGTTTCGTCCTATCGGTCAAATTTCATGATTACTTTTATTAGATGTCACGTAATTATTAACTAATCAAGTGGTTTATTTGAGGTATGGTGCATGGATTCAAACTAACTAAAGTATACCACAACAAACAAAGAAGAAAAAGAATTCCAAAAAGTTGGGATACCTACATGAACCGGAAAGTGTGAAAACTTGAGAGCCTAACATTTGTCGGTGGCATGACGGCCGCCGTTGAAAATGGTGGCCGGCGGCTTCTGAATTTTGTAAAACATCATCCTCATCACCCACCAAACTCTGCCCACGTGTTACATCGTATCTAATACCGTATCCCAAGAGATTTAATTAGCCTACCTAACTAATTAACTAAATTAGTCTAACAGTATTAAATTGATTAACTTGATTCACTACGTACATAGGACTCAACTTGATTCACTGAAGATTATTCTGATTGTTGCATACTTATTAAACAATCTATGTATTATCGTTGATCACTAATCCCTTTCTTTTCAAGTCAAAATTCTCTTCTTCTTTTCTTTTTAGTTTTTATGTGAACTTTGACTTTGGCCTCTATGCAAATTAAATACATTTCATGTGAATAACAATTGTTTGGTAATATATATCTCTATCTTAGCTATAATTTCACTTTTTCCTCTTCAGGCTGCTGTCTAAAAACTTCATCTTTGACTTTTGAGTACTTATTCAATTTTCTTTGTACAATTGAAGCTGCCAAGAATCTTCTTTAATAGGTTTGTACATGACTTATAGAACGTTGATTTTTATTGCTCAATTCATTATTTTCCCAAATTACCTTACAAATGAAATTTCATGGAAAACATGTGTTAGAGTTTGAAAATTCTAAACCAAGTTATACTAATTTGCTATGCATGCATGTGTTATAGTCTCACTTTAGACTTCTGTTCAAAAGAAAAGAAAAGTCCTAAAAGACAAATAGTGATTCCTCCAATTTTTTAATTTAGTCACCCTATCAACATTAATTATAAATAGGAACTTTCTCTATCTATTGACTATATATACACCACACTTCATTCTTTTATAGCAACCTTAAGTCTTAAGAATTTTGTTGAATTCATCTCTCTCTCTCTCTCTCTCTCTCTCTCTCTCAAATCAAAAGAGTAGATTCACACACAGATCAAAGCTTTTTCATGGCCGTTCGTTTTGTGACCATCTGGCTCTTCATCGTCGTCACCGTCATCGTCTTGACCTTGCCGTCGCCGGTCTCTTCAAGAAAGCTCTTGGATATGAAGAAACAAGAGAACATGACGGTGAGAGAGGAAGAGAAGAGTCGCATGCCTCACGTGACCAAAACCACGACCCTAGCTGCTCTGCCAAAGGGAAAAATCCCCAACTCGACGCCGAGCAAAAAGGGTCACGCCGCCGTCTCCGCTGTAAAGCTCCGATCTCGACAACTTTCCACCGTTGATCGGTTTCTTCGATCCGTTCCCAGTCCCGGCGTTGGCCATAGATAGCCTTCGTTAGATTCCTCATGGGACCAATTCGTATTTCATTTTTCCACCAAAGAACCTTTTCATTTCGTTTTTTTTTTTTAGTTTAGTACATTCTTTTTCTAACAACATACTACGAAATTTCCTACGAGATAGACTTTTGTGTTTGGTTTTTTTTTTCTAACTATCTTGTAATTAACTAATGTTACATTGTTACTTCATTTCTCTTCATTTTATTGCAAGTTGACTCTTATTTGCTGAGATATGTGATTGACCCTTTGTTTTACAGTGGACGTACTTAAACTAATAATTAGTCATGGTCTTAAATTAGTTAGTAGGTCCAGGGGGTTCGGTTAGTAACAGAATGAGATATCTTATAAACGTATCGTATGGTTCTTAGCAATATTGTTATAGTAATTAAGTATTATCAATCAATTCATAAACAAGTTCAGTTGTTATAGTAATTAAGTATTATCAATCAATACTGTTCTTAGTATATATATACGACGATCAGTTGATGCTGAAGATTCGAATGTACAATTTTAGTGGATGCTGAATCTATAGTGAGACATATCAAACATTTATTTAAACTTCTTTTAAATCCAAAAGTTAATACTTAATAGTATATGTATGAGCTTTCAACCATACTAATACAGTAATAATCGAAGGGAAAAAGGTGTTAATAGCGTTGAATTGGCTTGCCTCTAGCCTCTAGCCACCGCTCAATTCATTAGAGATTTGTATAGTTTCCTTCAGGATTACTCAAACTCTTAAATAATTCTAGATAGAGGTCATCCTATATATTATTGACTGTAGAAATATGGAAAACTGAAATAACAGAATACTTTTGTTTTTAGTTTCAACAAAAAAAAAAAAAAAATCTTTTATAACTTTATATGTAAATACCTAATGCAAATCATTTACGTATCCTATAGTTCTTGGAGTATAATTTATTTATATATGATCCACGCTTCGCTCGGAATTTTACATTGTTATTATTAACATCGTTAAAATAAAATTTGAGGATATTAATTTTTGTATTCCAAAATATAAATATAGTAATTAAATAAAATTAAGATAGTTATTAGTAATTAAATAAGAACAGTTATTATTTCTCGTCTCGTCCCGTTAAATAAAATTAGGATTGGACATAATTTGGTCTTGTTCCATCATGTCCTTTTTCTTCTTGTCTTGTTCCGCTCTGTCCCATTTATTCTCATTCTATTTTGCCTCATCCCGTTCATTTCCTTGTCGTTCTACCTCGTCTCGTTTATTTCCTTTCTCCTCCCGTTCCTTCCCGTCTCGTTCATTTATTTCATGTTTTGCCTCGTCCCGTTCTTTTCATCCTATAAGGTAATGGAAAATTATGTTATACATGTAGGAATAATTATTGTCTCGTCCCGTTAAATAAAATTAGGGTTGGACATAATTTGTCTCGTCCCGTACCGTTTCTTCGTGTCTTGTTCCGCCCATCCCATTAATTTTGTTCCTGTTTCGCCTAATTCGTTCATTTCCTTGTTGTTCTGCCTCATCTTGTTCATTTCCTTTCCATTTTGCCTCGTCATGTTACTTCTTCTATCTTTTATTTCCGTTGTGTTTATTTTTGTCATGTTTCGTGTCATTCTATTCTTTTTCTTTATGTTCCGCCATCAGTATTCGTCTTATAACGTAATGGCAAATTATGTTATACATAAATTATTTCTGTTGTAAAATAAATGTCTTTTCATATTCTACATCAAATCATTATATTAATAGATGGTAATTAATTTTCAGATTTCAACGTGGAATCGACCACTACTACTACAATTATTTGAAAGTGAGGAAATCACTCGCATTATAGGTATACTAGTGACAACTGGATACAAACCAGATATTTGGGGTTGGCATTTTACAACAACGGGTCGTTACACGGTCAAATCAGGATATAGTGTTTTACAGGAGTTCTCAGATGATGGGTCTCTCCCAGTTTTCGGACCTGACGTCCGGAGACTGCAAGCACAATCCTGGAGGATTAACTGTACTACAAAACTCCAACACTTTTTTTGACAAATTATTACCGGATGTTTATCGGTTAGTGCACAGCTGTGCAGTCGGGGAATGCGAGTGGATCCGCAGTGTGTGTGGTGTGGTATGAGAGATGAAACAATAAACCATATGCTTTTTGAATGTCCTCTGGCTAGACAGGTCTGGGCTTTATCCCCAATCCCAACGCCTCCCCAGCATTTTCCTACGGGAGCTCCTTTCTCAAACATGACACATCTATTCTGGAATCTCCCAGACGATGAGGATATGTTGATATATCCATGGTTACTTTTTATCTGAAAAGCGAGAAACTATAAAGTTTTCTCCAATGATGACCACAGTCTGAATGATGTATTGGAATCAGCGATAACGGAAGCACGGGCATGGGCAGCTGCCCAAACAGTCGGAGAAATGGCGCAAGTAGACACCTAACCACATTTTGGGCCGGTACTATCGGGAGAGTGGTGTTAGGTTGACGGAGCATGGAAAGAGACAGAGTCCCGGGCGGGACTTGGGTGGTATACCCAGAATCGGGTTCAATTTTGCTTGGTGCTAGCAATCTACGGCGGGGATTATCCCCTTTACAGACAGAATTGGAAGCACTGGTTTGGGCTATGCAAAGTATGTTAGTCCACAACAAACGGAGAATGAATTTCCAAACAGACTATGCTCAGTTGGTAAAGATGGTGTCTAAACCCGCTGAGTGGCCAGCTTTCGAGATCTTGTCACTTCTAGACGCAAATCACTTCAAATTGAACAGTTTGAGCTCACGAATCATGTAAAAGTCGTCTCTAACACCAAACATATTTAGTGAATTAGAGTCATTTCTCGTTAGTAGATATACTGTAATTAATAGATAGTAATCTTTACGATTCATGACCACAAACTAGTTTACAAATTATTGGCTTCGAGTCTTTGACATAAAAGGTTATGCATGGGCCACAGAAGCACGGGCATGTGCAGCTGCTCCAAACAGTCGGAGAAATGGCGCAAGTAGACACCTAACCACATTTTGAGACCGTACTATAGGGAGAGTGGTGCCAGGTTGACGGAGCATGGAAAGAGACAGAGTCCCGGGCGGGACTTGGGTGGTATAATTTTGATCCAGAATCGGGTTCAATTTTGCTTGGTCCTAGCAATCTACAGCGGGGATTATCGCCTTTACAGACAGAATTGGAAGCACTGGTTTGGGCTATGCAAAGTATGTTAGTCCACAACAAACGGCGAATGAATTTCCAAACAGACTGTGCTCAGTTGGTAAAGATGGTGTCTAAACCCGCAAAGTGGCCAGCTTTCGAGATCTTGCTTGAAGAGGTGGAGAAATGCAGAAGGAAGTTCCAGGTGTTCTCCCTAACACACATTCCAAGGATAAAAAAATACGAAGGCAGACAAGCTAGCACGGAGTGCTCGAGATCAGCCTCATAATGTGTACTACATAAATTAAGTTCCACCGGTTTCGCTTCCCGAACCGAATTAGGAACTTAGACTATTGACAAAAAAAAATTACTATGAGATATAGACCAAGTATTTGTTGTGAGAAAGAGAGAATGAAGTTGTCTTATTCCATGAGTGAACTCTATTATATAGAGTACAACATAGGGTTTCAAGGAGAAGACACAAAGGGAGAAGTGGACCTAATGGGCTAATGGGCATCCACATATTACCCATAACACTCCCCCTTGGATGTCCATTATCTAAAATATCTTCTAAATGTAAGTTGCTGCCTCGTTAAAACCTTTACTAGGAAAACCCAAGGAAAAACTTTAGCTAAGGAAAAAGAGTGCAGCGCATTACTCCCCCTCATGAGAACATCCGTCTAAATCTTTGAGATGATTCATCCAATATCACGAATTAGCTTCTTGAAAACAGCTGGATGTGCCTTGATGAAGAAGTCTGGAAAATCTTCTCTTGAACAATCTTTAGAACTTTGATATCGCCATTCTTCAGTAGTGCATGGATGTAGTTGATGATTCATCTTGATCATTCTCTTTGTTTCACTTGATCTCATAAATGGATGACAAGACTTTGGAAAAGGAGATAACTTTCATCTTTAGACTTCTTTAGATGTTTCTCATTTGTGTGTTCTTTGTTGCCTCATTAAAACCTTTCATGGAAAAACCCAATGGGATAAAAACCACAATAAGGAAAAAGAGTACAACCACACATATCATCTTATATCTCCCCCTTGGAAGCATCTTCTTCAAGAGATGCATTCCAATAATCAATATCAACTTTTGGAGATTACTATGAGTATAACCTCAGTTAATAAACTCATATGATTATCTTATAATCTTCTAGGTCATTTAAACTTCTAGTCTATGACTCATTTTTCATAAGTAATCATTTCTTGGTCTATTTGGACTTCAGGCCAAACTTTCCCTTTACATACAATATTTTAAATATCTATCTTGTATATAAGTTATCCCATGCTCATTTTGTTCTCATCTTTCAGTTATGAAAGAGACCAACACATTTCTCAAATATAATTTAAAGTATAGTACATTTTTAATGCAAATCTTACAAGGATCTTTTGAGATCACATCTCTTTTGTTAAATGTGAATATGAGATATCTTAAGACAAATTTGTCTTTCCAATATCTTTTATCTAATTTCGACAATTCTTCAGGAATTTCGATAATGTTTAGATTAAGATCTCTTTTGATCCAACCTTAAATTTTTATAAATATACAGTGGTGATTATATATGTATGTATATATATCACTTTTGTGATTGTACCCCACTGAGAGTATTTCTCTTCATTTGATCAAATAATTAGAGTTCTTTGGGAACATAGTTTTGATATCATTAATCCTTCAGGAATTATATCCTTCAGGGACTTTTATAAAAATGTCATTATTTAGTGGGTCTTATGAGTCAAGTTCTTCTTTCATTGCCACACTTAATGAACTTGAAAGTTGCATCCACCACATGCCTATTATAACCCACTTGTTTTACACTTTTTAAGGTGTAAGGACTTCTGGTCCAAATATATTTCTCTTTCTAAGAGATTTTAGTTTTGCGTCTATTGCTTCTTTTCGATTTGGCCAAATCATTACTTTGTGTACACAATGCAATAGACTTTGTTTCATGATCCTCTTTCTCATTCATAACATCAACTGCTATAATGCATGCAAATATTTTATTTACGACGTCGATTTGCTTTTATGGTTCCATTTTATTCCATACATGACATAATTAATTCTCGAGATCTCTTCTTTGTCTCAGGTACCTGAATTTCTTTCTTGTCATGTTTAATATCTCTTCTTGAGATCATTTCAAAAACATTTGTTTCCTCGGTTTAACCATTATCAATTTATGCTCATTTTACTTTACCGAGGTCTAATATTTGGAACCAACAAGTCTATCACACTTCATGCGTCTTTAGACTTACTAGCAGTTTGATATTGTCCTTCTGGGAAATCAATTATTCTTAGAGCATTTACAGCTGGTAAGTGACTCAACACTATATTTGGGTCAGTAATTGTATCTGGCAATTGATACAGTAAGTTTTGTGAATGAATTATCTTTTAGACTTTTATTTCACATACTATCGTCTGAGGATCAATGATAATTCATTCTAACTTTAATCTTTCTCCAGCTGTTTTATTTTCTCCCCCTGATGTTGGAAAGACTGAATCACTAAAATGACAGTCTACAAATTGAGCATATTTAAATCCTTCATGGATAGCTCTAGATATTATCATAGGAGATTAATATCCAACATACATTTACTATCCCTTTCGAGGGTCCATCTTATATTGTTGTGGTGGAGCATTATGAATGTATTCTGCACATCCATAGATCTTTAGATGGAAAACTTTGGTTTCTGACCTAAACCAATTACGATGGGGAGAACCTTTAGTTATTCATTGGCTTTATGCGAATTAATGCTTTTGCATTATGTGTAATGATGAACATTTGCTACTGGATGTTCAACATTTATTCTTACAAACATGTTTTTCTCAACAAAGATTTAAGATGTGATTTCACTAGCACTACCAAGTAATCTCGCAAACTTCAGGTTGCAGATATGTAATATTGAGACATACATGATGTATTTTATTTCGCATAATATCTTGAACTGAAATGGTCTAACCAGCTCATGCCAAACTATGTTATATTTGGTAAACTTCTAGTTTACTACATAGCATTTACATCTCCTATATAATCTTTGTCTATGATGAGGCATTAGATAATGTATGTTATTTTTCAAAATAATTTTACACCATTGAGTTACATTATATATGATTATCTTAAGTGTGAACATAATCTTCTAGATGTTCACTTTCTAGTGATTGAGGGATTCATCCATTCTCCCCCTCGAGATGATGTCACTTCAGGTTCATCAATCTCGAATGGAATCCTAGTATAAAATCATTGATATGCCCAATTTGAATCATGTTTTATATCTTTATATTTTTATTATGTCTTTGATTCTTTTCACTTCTGGGACTTCAAAGATATAATGCATCAATAATTGTTTACTATAAGCAAATATATATTTATATACTCTTCTGGAGATGTGTATCTTTTATTTGATGCCATCTTTATTTTCTCACTTCTTGTGAGAATTTAAGTTCTTAAAGTAAAACTCTTTGGCCACTGGCTACAAACCGGATCATTGGGGATGGTTTTATACAACAACGGGTCGGTATACGGTCAAATCGGGATATAGTGTTTTACAGGAACTCTCAGATGAGGGGACACTGCCAGTATTCGGACCGGACATTCGGCGGTTGCAAGCGCAATCCTGGAAGGTCAAATGTACTACGAAACTCCAACATTTCCTTTGGCAAATCATTACCGGGTGTCTATCGGTTGGCGCGCGATTATGCAGTCGGGGGATGCGGGTGGACCCGCAGTGTGTGCGATGTGGAATGGGAGAGGAGACTATCAACCATATGCTCTTTGAGTGTCCTCTGGCGCGTTAGGCATGGGCACTCTCCCCCATACCTACACCTCCTCAACATTTTTCTACGGACACACTTTTTTCAAATATGGCACACCTATTTTGGAACCTCCCAGATGATGATGATATGTCGATGTACCCATGGTTGCTATGGTTCATTTGGAAAGCTCGGAATTACAAGGTTTTCTCAAATGATATGATCAAAACCCACAGGAGGTAATGGAATCCGCAATAACGAAAGCAAAAGCATGGGCAGCCGCCCAAACGGTGATAGACAGTACGCGTTGTAATATGTCCATACACTCCGGATCAGCCCCACTGGGGGAACGGTGTCAGATTGACGGTGCATGGAAAGTGACGGAAAGTCGGGCAGGACTTGGATGGTACAATGTTGATCCGGTATCAGGGTCAATTTTGATTGGGTCCAGCAATCTACGGCGGGGCTTGTCCCCTCTCCAGACAGAATTGGAGGCACTAATTTGGGCTATGCATAGTATGCTAGCTCATGATAAACGACGGATAAAATTCCAAACAGACTGTGCTCAGTTGGTGAAGATGGTGTCCAAACCGGCAGAGTGGCCAGCTTTTGCGATCTTAGTTGAAGAAGTGGAGAAATACAAAGGGGTGTTCCAGGAGTTCTCGCTCACACACATCCCCAGGACGAAGAACACGAAGGCAGACAAGCTAGCACGGAGTGCTCGAACTCAGCCTCACGATGTGTACTACATAAACTCAGTTCCACCGGCCCCGCTTCCCGGACCGGCTTAGGAATTTAGGCTGTTGACAAAAAAAAAAATCAAAACCAATTAGACAAGATTCAAGATTTTTAGAAGATATTCATATTCATGTCTATAACCATATCTTTAATCATTTATATCACATTCATTTCAGGGAATAAATCAAAACCAATTAGACAAGATTCAAGATTTTTATCAATAACTCATTATTTTATCAAAATAACTTTAAATTTTTTTTTTTTAAATAATATTTTGTCTGCTGAACAATATTATTTATCTAAAATGTATGTCTTTCATCATCATTGATATATATTATCTTCCAGATAAATAAAAATAATTTATAGACAAGATATTCATCATTATCTTGTAATCTTAGATGTAAATACAAGATATTCATGTAGAGGATAGTAGAAAGATTAAATAAATATTATCAAATATATATAAACAAAGCATAATGAAAAAAAAATATTAATAACATTACCTTTTATTATCACTTCAAGTGACAATTTAAGTTTGTCATATTTTATCAGCAAGACAATAATATTTTAAAATACTTCTCAATACTTCTCAATATTTCTCAAATTTATTAATAATATTGTGTCTACAATACAACAATATTTTTATTATGTATTTTAACATCTTTGTATTAGTAGTATTATCTTCACTTATATGTTTCTAGATGCAATAATTATCTTTAGATTACTCTATTAATTCATATCACTTCAGGTGATTATTCATTTTCTTTAAATTGCTATATTAGATCATATCACTTTTGGTGATCATGCCTTTCTTTTTACTTTATGATAAACTAGGAGAGCACCCGCGCAATACGCGGGATTTTGTTTTAAAATTTAGTATTTTATGAAAGTTTTAAAAAAAAAATATCCTAGGTTTTAATCCTCTCTCCCAATAATGGTAACATTTTTTGCTTATTTGCTCACTGTTTTTGTATTTTTTTGCCTAAGGTTTTGGTTTAATTCCTCGTTGATTTACTTTAACTAATCAATATTTATATGCCAAAATGGTTGTTGACCAAATTAAAATATACATTCATCAGACATAAAGTAAGAACTTGTGCTTTTAGCAATCAACTAAAGGGTATTTGTTTTACCTTTGATTGTATTAAAGTATTAAACTAAGAAGATATGGAGTAGTAAAAGAAGTTAAAAATTTCTTCTACCAATCCAACGAAATAAATCAGTAGATATATAGGGGATGATTGGTAGGAGCTGTGGTTGCTCTCCACAGCTCTATATCTCTCTACAGCACTCCAAAATTACCAATCATGCTCTCCTTTTATCTCTTTCCATTTTTGAAACATAGAACAATTTTATTTATTTATGGAAGTTCCGTAGCTGTGGAAAGCAATTTTTCTAGAGCACTAAATTTAGTACTCTCTAAATTTTCTCTCTTCTCTTTCCGTATTATTTTGTCTATATTCTTTTTTTAATCTCTTATTTCTATATCTTCTTTTTTTGTTTTAATATTTCATTTAATACACAATCTACAAAAAAAAAAATCTTACAACACTAAAAACTAAAGCCACAGCACTAAAACCTACAGCCTAAACTCTACAGCCAAAAATCTAAAGCCACAGCCACAACCAATCAAGCCCATAGCGTTTGTAATTTGAAGAACATAAGCCAACTTTATTTGGAACAAAGACGTGTTTTAGGACCGGGTAAATACATAAGTTACATACCAAAAAACAGAAGGTACAAACTGTGAATCCAAATAAACTTAGTAATAACAAAATCTTCAATCTCTATGAGATGTACAATTCAAGAAGCAAAAGAGTATTTCCTATACAAAAGGATGCAATACTTTTTGTTCTTCAAATATCTTGTCCCTGCAAAACCAACAAATGCAGAGACGACTATGAGCAAACAATAAAAGAAGAACTACAAACGAACCGCATGCAAATCAGACAACCTTACATAACCCTACAAGAAAAACTGCATACACTTTAACATCATACGCAGAATTCAAAATCAGGACATGAAAAGGAGATAAATTTGAATACCGTGAAGCAGTTATGTGTACAAGCTTCTGCTTTAAACCTTTATCGATGATTTTCTCCAGCAACTGCAAGTCCTTTTGACGTCCCTCGCCCAACTAAAAAACAGGCAAAACCGGAGAAAGAGTGGATTCGTCTATAGCCACAGTACGTTTAACACCTTTTTGCTTGAATAAACTCAGTCTAGAATAAGTGAGCAGACTCTCGAGCTGTTGGTTTCAAAATCAAGAGTCGATTAACAATCTACAATATCTAAATACAAGCCAACGGAGCGTTGAGACACTATCCAGAAATTGAAAATAATTGGAAAGCAAACAGGTGTAGACTAAAAAAAAAGGGTCAGACCTCATGTAGTGCCGTGAAACTTTAGGTTTTATATTATAAAGTTTTGTTTGACAAGTTTTAACCTGTAGTCACTGTAGATCTATGGTGCAGTGATGAGAAAGTGAACATCTCTAAAGCTTATGTTGCCTACTGGCTTCTCACTTTTCCTTTCAACGACGTGTATGCCTCCGATTCTCTTTCTCCTCATCAGCTTGAAGACCTGAAGAACAGGTTCATCTTCATAGATCTGTAACATAAATGGTGAGTATGTTAAGAACAACAAAGAATGCACTCTTATGGAGCTATGAGTAAGATTAGGAATACAAAGTTACAAAGCTGACCTTTATGATATGATCTTTTGACATAATGGGAAGACGGACTTCAGAGAGAGTTTTGATTCCCCAATCTTCAAACCAGTGGAGCCCCGCGCATTCTGCAAACATATGGATAACTCCTGATTGAGTGATGATGCTCTCGATCTTTGCTTCACCTAAATCAACCACAGGGATGCTCTTCATTTTGTGCTTTGAAAGAAGCAAGAGCATGGTTAAAAAGGAGTTCTCTTTCTGCAGAGCCAGGAACGGTGCCCATCGGAATGTTCCAGAGATCTCGAACCTGTAAGAGAGAAGGATATTCAATGCATTTCCAAAAGCCGTAATCAGGAAAAGAATCAATGGAACGTGTAAAAAGATAGGAGCTTCACCTTGGTGTTCTTCTATAGCTCTGAAGAAGTAAGGACCTCAAAGAAGTTTCCAGAAGTTACTGCTGAATTTCCGTTATCCAGAACATCGGAGGTGAAATCATGAGCAATTCCATTTGACAGTGCTACAGTACGGCTCCTTGGAGATGGTGGCTCCAACTGTTTTTTTTTTTGAAGTAGAGCAAAGACAAGAGCAAAAAGCAAAATGTTTGAAAGAGAAGATAGAAGGAACAACAAACCTGATGCAAAAGCCAGACAACAATGCCAGGAAACTCCAGAATACCTACCATGGAAGAGCTGACAAATGCATGCGAGTGTGTACCGCGGAGGGGAATTCCAAACAATTTTCCTACTGCAACATTACTCCGGTCAAAACAAAGCAAGAAAGCAATCAAATCATGTTCTCTCTTCTCTTTAGATCCTTTCATAAACAAAACCAAATCACTAAAGTAAGACTGAGACATGCCTTGTTGCATCAAAACCTCCAAGGTAGCAATATTTTGATGCGTTTATTGCGCCATCAGGACCCTATAACAACAATATATCAAAGATGAAACAAAAAAAACAAAAACCTCAACATTTAAAGCTAAAATATGACAAGTTTTCAGTGGAAACCTGAGCTCTCCGAGCACCAAACTCAAGCAAAAGCTTAGACTTTCCGGTGACAAACCGATGCCTTGCTGCATTTGTAGCAACGAAAGATGCGTAATTGATGAGATTGAGAACAAAGAGATAGCATACACTTCAATGTCAGAACAATCAAGTCCTCGTAGATAATCACAGAAAGCTTCCTGCTTTTGGATATTCCCAAAACGGTCAAAACAATGAACAAAACAAAAAAAAACGATTCTTTTTATGAAAGTGGAAAAGAGAGATTTTTGGCTGTACCTCACATCCAGGCAACGAATCACGAACGAAATCGATCTCTTCATGAGTCAAATTGAAATTAGCGAGGAATTTGATGCATTCTTCTAATCCAGCGTAAATGGTGTATTCTCCACCAAATGGGTTCTTACGAAAATACAAATCAAACCTGAGGATTGAAACAAAAACGAAGAGAGATGAGAACTTTTTCAGCTATTGTGGATTCGAAAAGGATTGAGATTTATCTAATTGAGAGACTAACACGGATCGTTCGGATTGTTTGCCGGATTTCCAGTAAGCATAAGCCATGGTGAATTGGTAGAGACGGCGTAACCATCGGGTAGGTGGGTCCGTCGACGACCCGACCCGGTTTCTTCCCATCAACACCATTTGCTTTCTTCTCCGTTCTCAAAATCATGTGTGTGTTTTTTTTCGTGGTTGTGTTAAAGAGAGAGTGGCCACTGACTCTGAAGCAAAAAGGCGAGGTTGAGGATGAGGACAATTTATTTTCAACTCCAGTTATGCATTGCTCACATATGCAGGAGGCGGACCCAAAAGGTCATGAAGATGAATCGTCGTCATTGAGAAGAAGCGGAAGCATCGTCTGTTTTATTTATTTATTAAATTACCTATAATCAAAACGACGTCGTTTTGGAGGGGACGGAGAAGGAAAAAAACTTCTGATATTAAACGACGTCGTTTTGGAGTAAGACGGGAAAGGGAAATATAGAAGGGATGACGTGGCACTCTCTGGAGGTACTGAGGTGTCAGCAGCTGGAGAGTGTCACAAGCCCTTTCAATTATATAGATTAATACATTTTCAAATCTTGTATTAATATATAAATACACTCATTAATCTATATATAATCTAGACATATCATATAAACAATGATGCTATTATTTAATCAATCAATCATGGATTAATTTAAATAGTAAATAATATTTTATTTGTAAAACCAAATCAAAGCAATAATAAAAACAAATCAAGGAAATATTATTATTTTACTTTTTTCCAGATATTCAATGATATAATATATGATTAGCAAATGAGATCAATTAATAAAACATGATAAACAATATCAATGTCATAGGAAGATATGGTGCAAAAATAAAATAATATTATTTAACAAGACTATCAAAATTCATTTCAAAAAATAATCAAGTGATTTAAATACCAATCTGTCAACAAACATTAAAATTTATAACATTCAACATAAATAATTTCAGAGTGATTCTAGCTCACACATTAATTATAATCAAAAATGTGTTCAAAAGGTCAAATTAACAATTTAATATGGTCAAATATTGCAATAATATTTCAATTTAATGATGAAATTAATTCATACAATGAAAACTTCTTCTTTAGACAATTTTCAAATAATTATTCAATTTAGCAATTAAATTATTACGAAAATAAATTTAAAATAACAAATATCATAAGAAAAGCAAATAAAATAAATAAGAACAATATATATCAATGCAAATAAAATAATAAACAATATAAAATCCTTCTGGGATAAATAAAATAAATAAAAATTATAAATCCTGCCAGAATTTAGTTGAAATATATTTATCCTTCTAGGATAAAAATAAAAATAAAATCCTTCTAGGATAACAGAAATATAAATACTATTAGGATATATAAATAAAATAAATAAATTCTTCTGGAAATAGAAATAAATTATATAAATCCATCTGGGATCTACTCCGGATCTATAAATAAAATAAATTATTTCTTCTGGAATATAGTGAAATATAAATCTTTCTATGATATATATAAATAAGATATAAATCTTACAGGGATATAAATAAAATAAATTAAATAGAAATCCTTCAGGGATATGAATAAAATATAAATAAAATATAAATCCTTCAGGGAAATAAATAAAAATTTGAAATAAAATATAAATCCTTCAGGGATATAAATAAATAAAAATTAAAATTCCTTCAGGAATATAAATAAAATAAAAATCCTTCAGGGATATAAATAAAATAAATAACATAAACATAACATATAAATAAATATGAATCCTTCAAGGATATAAATAAAATAAATAAAATACAAATCCTTCAGGGATGTATATAATTGAAATATATAATTCCTTCAATGAAAATAATATATAGATCCTTCAGGGATATTCATAAAATATAAATCTTCCAGAGATATAATTTAATTAGACAATAATAGAAAAAATATATATAAAGCATGTCTTTGTTGAATCCAAAATATTATCAATAAGTAATATTGATTAAATATTGATAGAAATGGATTTTAATAGAATAAACACAAACCAACAAAGTAATATAAATTACTCATTGAATTTTGTGAATTCAAACTATAAGAACTATTAGAACTTTTGATTACATAAAAAATAAAATAAAATAAAATAAACTAAAAGGTAGAGACTTGTGCTGATAACGTGTTGTGAGAAAGAGAGAATGAGATTGTCTTATACCATGAGTGATACATATATATATATATATATAGGATTACAACATAGGGTTTCAAGAGAGAAGACACAAAGGGAGAAGTGGACCTAATGGGCTAATGGGCATCCACATATTTACCCATAACAGTATTAAAATATTTAAAATTAATAAATATAATATTGACGTGTCGAATTTTGAGTACTCTATTTGCTGATGTGACAGCACAAGAAGAGAGCAACATCAACTTTATATATATAATATAGATAGATAATATTTCTGCATTAGGTGTTTCCTAAAAAACCCAACTAGCACAACATTATTTATAGTTGTAGACCATTTATTTTTTTCAAATTGTCAGGCTAGTGCAATCATTGTTTAATTAAGTGCTTAATTAAGTGCTGTATATTTTCAGAAAAAAAATAAAAAAATAAATAATTGTCTTAACAAAACCAAAAGAAAAAGGTGTTTTCAACTGTTTAGACAAAATTATTTATATTATATATATATATATATATAAATAGATAATATTTCTGCATTAAGTGTCTCCTAAAATAATCCAACTAGCACAACAATATTTATAGTTGTAGATCATTTTTTTCTTTCAAATTTGTCAGACTAGTGCAATCATTGTTTAATTAAATAATTAAGTGCATAGATTAAATGCTATGCAGAAATAAGTGCTATGCATATATTTCAAAAATAAAAAATTAAGTAATTGTCTTAACAGAACCAAAAGAAAAAGGTAAATTTAACCCATTTTTATTTGTTCGTACGACTGATGATGGGAAAATTGCTTGAAGATGAATTATATATGTCCGAGTATAACAACGATGAATTATAAGTTTCAAACACTCGTAGTTGAAATGTCGAACAAAAAATTTGATTGATTGTTTAAAGGTCATTATTATAAAATTTGTGTAATTTTCAGATTTTTTATAGGTCAAATTAAAGTCATGCACATTTTATAAGGTTTAAAATATCCGTATGTTTAGGAGTTTTCTCTTGGGAAAAAAAAATTATATATTAGTTATGGTTGATACATATATTTATGATTAATATCTAAAAGAATAAACTTCATAAAGAACAAAATCAATCACATAAATAATTTTCTTTTCAAAATTGATTTTGTTTCTGCATGTTCATCTATATAAATAGCCATTGATTTTTAGCTTCTCTTTCATATAGTTGTGGAGAAATATATCTCATAGTATATAAATTAAACACAAAAATAATTTAAGCAAAATGTCGTCATCAAACTCAAAGCTTCACTTTGTTGCTCTCTTGATCATTCTTTCACTCCTTGCTTACAATGGACAGTCGACTAGTAAGATCTCTACCATCTCTTAATTAGATTTTCATATAACAAAAAAAAAAAAACGATTGTATCCATATAATACATATGTGTGTGATTATCAAACTCACTTCTTATTTCTTATTTACTAAAAATCATTATCATTATAATAATAATTCTACATATGATTGATTAACAGGAATAATGGATGACAATCTTCCAGAATGTGAATTTAAAGGACCATGTCAGATGAAAACCGATTGCTTGGGGATATGTGGAGGCAAACCTGAAAATGCTCTGTGTATACCTAATCCTAGCGTTGAAAGTCTTCAGTGCTGTTGTCTTTCAAACTAATTTGATTAGAATTATACTCACACTATTAAAATAATGTGTTCTATTAATAAGTGTATTCAATTTTGCGATATTACTTTTCGAATAAAATTTTCAGGGTTTCAACTTTCAATCAGGTTAAGTACATGAAAATTGTATAAACAAATTACTTACCAGTATCACTTTATTAGAGAAAAAATGATGTTTAACAAATTTGGATTAAACGTCTTAATAAAACTTACTTACCACTATTCCATCTTAAAAAAATGACATTTAGGTATGTAATTTGATATTGAATAAAAAACTACTTACCCAATATCATTTCGATTATTGAAAATGGTATACATCAGCTTAAACGTGTTTCGTTTTTCTTTGTCTTAGCTTACATAAATTTGTCATTTCTAGACGCAAATCACTTCAAATTGAACAGTTTGAGCTCACGAATCATGTAAAAGTCGTCTCTAACACCAAACATATTTAGTGAATTAGAGTCATTTCTCGTTAGTAGTTATACTGTAATTAATAGATAGTAATCTTTCCGATTCATGACCACAAACTAGTTTACAAATTATTGGCTTCGAGTCTTTGACATAAAAGGTTATGCATGGGCCATGAGTTTTACTCTTTAGAAAAATAAAAGTATAATGTAAGTTCGAGTTTTGATTCACTTAAACCTGTATACATATTTATCAGTATTCAAATAAAACTTTATACAATAATTTCATGATATAGTAACCTTATTACACTGATGTTTTTGTGTGTGTATAACCTAAAACAAGGTTTACTAATTACCTAAAATCCAACAAGATGGTCAGGCCCAATTTTAAACATCTGAAAGTCTATCTTGGTGCAGTGGTTAAAACCCACTATATGGTTTCATAAATAATGATGGTCAAGCCCATAACCTGATGCAGGATTAATTATCTTAGATCAAATAGCCAACTAATTAATTAGATCTACTACAATAATGAAAATGTGTATTCAATGAGAATTGATCTCTAATTTTCATTGTCCTTTTTTTCATTTAATTTCTTTATCATTATTAATTTATGCCAGACCAACCCACATACATCTATATTAAATATAAACGAATTAAATTTATACAACGGCATTTAATTGTTGCCTAACAAAATAGATTTCAAAATCGGTCGTGTGTGTGGGACTCTCTTATTGGTCTGGTCTATCTATTTCTATCTCCCTAGATTGATTGTCTTACGTCACACAGATCTGTCTCACTCACTTACCCAAACCATATCTTTAGATTTCACACTCCCCTTTCCGTCCATTATCTACACGTTTCCTAATTTCTAAAGCCCACACATACCATTCAACACACACACACTATTACACAAAATGATCATACAAAACTAGTCAAGTCAATAAAGCCGCTCCTAGACTTGTTTTTCAAGCCACTCCACAATTTTTTGTCATAATTATAACCTACTTCTTCTTCTTTTTTAGTTTCAAAAAAATATTTACACACGATACATTACAAAAATTCAGTTATGTAACAAAACTTATACGTTAAAAATGAAAAACACAGGATACTCTTCTTCTCCATGCCATCCTAATTTTAAGCTGTATTAATCTAAAACTTAAAAAAAAAAGTTCTCATTTTAACATTATCTGTTTTCTGTCACTAAAACTGTTTTGATGATGATTGTCCCTCCCGCCATTTTCTGTCTCCGTCACATTCTCTTACCCTTTTAAAAACAGGTCCCACATGCCAGTCCTGCTGCCACCAAGGAATCATGTCCCACCCATTCCTTTTCCACGCGCCACCGCTATTTTTCTTTTCCGGCGCGTGTCACAACGACCGCTTTAATTTTTTCTTTTCCTTTTCATGAAGAAACCGGCGGGGGAAAACCGGTTACCGGAGTTAAGTAAACCTGGCTCTGTATCACGTGACCGCCGATATTAAACCCGGGAACAACCGTGAATCCGACCCGGATATCTGAATTATCGCCGGAGAAGAGAGACTCGTCGCCTGATTTCACACTCTCCATGTAGACTTGAGAGAATCTACAACCTCTTTTGAGCTGAAACACCGTGACGTTTTCGCTGAGGCAAAACGCCAAGCAGTGTAGAAGCCAGATCCGTTTTGACATCTCACAGAAGGTCGCGAAAAAACCCGAATCCGGAAACCCGCCCGAGTTAACCAGCTTCCTCTGGTTCAAGTTCCCGAAGAAGGAACACTCCATCTTCGCGTGTACAACGCTCAAGTACTTGTGTAACGTGAACCTCGCGAAGGAGGATCTCGGGTTCCGGGTCAAGTACTGGACCGGATCGACGGATCTTAGGTCGAAAAATTCCTCACGGCTCGGTTTCTCGTCGACGTTGGGTAACGAGAAATTGGGAGATTCGAAATTCTCCAGCATTTTCCCACAGACGAAGGATTCGAAC